AGTCCAATAATTTCATCTGCCAGTCTGCCCTGGCAGCTATCTTGTCGTCTTTCCAACTCTGGGCAAGAAGCATCCTTGCAGCTGTTGTAGTGTAAATAAACAATCTTTTCAGTTCCTTCGGTATCTCTGCAACTACAATTCCTATCAAAAAGGCTTCTGGTTTTTTAACAAAAGTTATTTCAAACATTTCCCCCCCAATTCATTGTATATCATTTCCCAGAATCCCTTTATCACGTTACAGTTCCACCACATATGACAAAAGGTGCCCTTCCTTTTCCTTACGTTTCCAACAAACATTTAAACTTGTCCTGTACATTTTTGCTAATTTACTCGGGGTTAAGACCAAACCTATGCATTCTGAGGGGATGCGGGTGGTGCTGTGGGTTAAACCACAGAGCCTAGGACTTGCCGATCAGAAGGTCGGCGGTTTGAATCCCCGCGACAGGGTGAGCTCCCGTTGCTCGGTCCCAGCTCCTGCCAACCTAGCAGTTTGAAAGCACGTCAAAGTGCAAGTAGATAAATAGGTACCACTCCAGCGGGAAGGTAAACGGCGTTTCCGTGCACTGCTCTGGTTCTCCAGAAGCGGCTTACTCATGCTGGCCACATGACCTGGAAGCTGTACGCCATCTCCCTCAGCCAATAAAGCGAGATGAGCACCGCAACCCCAGAGTCAGCCACGACTGGACCTAGTGGTCAGTGGTCCCTTTACCTTTACCTTTTTATCCATTCTGAAGGTAATCAGCCCTGAGTGCTCACTGGAAGGACAGATCCTGAAGCTGAGGCTCCAAGACTTTGGCCACCTCATGAGAAGAGAAGACTCCCTGGAAAAGACCCTGATGCTGGGAAAGATGGAGGGCACAAGGAGAAGGGGACGACGGAGGACGAGATGGATGGACAGTGTTCTCAAAACTGCCAACATGAGTTTGACCAAACTGCGGGAGGCAGTGGAAGACAGGAGTGCCTGGTGTGCTCTGATCCATGGGGTCACGAAGAGTTGGACACGACTAAATGACTAAACAAAAACAATAGATGCTTTATTAGATATAGCCTTCCTTCCTCATGTTTGTAAGTTCAGCAAGGAAGCTTAGATAGGCTAGTTTTAGCCTTTAAGTAATCCAGGATGCTATGGTTTTCCCAGTAGTGATGTATGGAAGTGAGAGCTGGACCATAAAGAAGGCTTATCGCCGAAGAATGGATGCTTTTGAATTATGGTTCTGGAGGAGACTCTTGAGAGTCCCATGGACTGCAAGAAGATCAGACCTCTCCATTCTGAAGGAAATCAGCCCTGAGTGCTCACTGGAAGGACAGATCCTGAAGCTGAGGCTCCAAGACTTTGGCCACTTCATGAGAAGAGAAGACTCTCTGGAAAAGACCCTGATGCAGGGAAAGATGGAGGGCACAAGGAGAAGGGGATGACGGAGGACGAGATGGATGGACAGTGTTCTCGAAACTACAATCATGAGTTTGACCAAACTGTGGGAGGCAGTGGAAGACAGGAGTGCCTGGTCCATGGCGTCACGAAGAGTCGGACATGACTAAACAACAACAACAAAAAATACCAGATATAATTTCACTTGAGTCCCCTTCTCCTGCCTTCGGCTTGGGTGTCTTTGGGGGGTGCCCTTTAGGCCTGGAATTCACAATTTACCTAAAGGTAAAGGGACCCCTGACCATTAGGTCCAGTCGTGACCGACTCTGGGGTTGTGGCGCTCATCTCGCTTTACTGGCCGAGGGAGCCGGCGTACAGCTTCCAGGTCATGTGGCCAGCAGGACTAAGCCGCTTCTGGCGAACCAGAGCAGTGCACGGAAACGCCGTTTACCTTCCCGCTGGAGCGGTACCTATTTATCGACTTGCACTTTGACGTGCGTTCGAACTGCTAGGTTGGCAGGAGCAGGGAACGAGCAACGGGAGCTCACTCCGTAGTGGGGATTCAAAACGCCGACCTTCTGATCAGAAAGTCCTAGGCTCTGTGGTTTAACCCACAGCGCCACCCACGCCCCAATTTGCATTTTGGGGGATGCTAAATGGTGGTGTCCGTGTTGGGCGAACGTGCTCAAGGCTCATTCAGCAAGGAAGGTGAGTATTATTCCATCCCTCCGCTCAGGAGCCACAGAATGTGCCAGGGGTTAGGAGCGATGCTCTCCTCCTAGATGTTAAACTGAAGCTTCCTGCCGGTGCTTACATAATTTGCTTATTTGTTGGCAGATCATCCATTGTTGCAATTAATAAATATGCCCTTTCCACCATTACTTGTCTCTTGAGCCTCCTTCTTCCAGGGCAATTAATTTCACTCATTTGGCAAAGGGCTCTCCAGGAGTTCCCTCGGACTGTGCAAAAGGAAGAACAGCAGACTCACGAGTGCCAGCTCAGCCCTCATTCCCCACCTCCCCCTCCCCGTTTTTGCACGAGGCATCCATGAGTCTCTGCACTGAGCACAGTTGGAAACCTTCGTGCATGGAGGAGGTGATGAAGCACATTCAGCCCAAATGCGCAAAGACGTCCCCTGCAGATGGCCTGCTCAGCGCACGAAGGAGAGGGCAGGGCTGCTGAGGTTACAGGGAACCAGGCAGAGGGCCTTCTCGGTGGTGGCGCCTGCCCTGTGGAACGCCCTCCCACCAGATGTCAAGGAGATAAACAACTACTTGACTTTTAGAAGACATCTGAAGGCAGCCCTGTTTAGGGAAGTTTTTAATGTTTGATGTTTTATCGTGTTTTTAATATTCTGCTGGGAGCTGCCCAGAGTGGCTGGGGAAACCCAGCCAGATGGACGGAGTATAAATAAATTATTATTATTATTATTATTATTATTATTATTATTATTATTATTATTTCGTAGGAGGGGGATACTGGTACCACAGCTCATCTTTGGGGGCTGTCCCCATGTGCCATTACCCTTACACTATGAAGAAGACGCAGCGGTCAGCAAACTTTTTCAGCAGGGGGCCTGTCCACTGTCCCTCAAACCTTGTGTGGGGCTGGACTATAATTTCTGGGAGAAAATGAACGCATTCCTGTGCCCCACAAATAACCCAGAGATGCATTTTAAATAAAAGGACACATTCTACTCATGTAAAAACACGCTGATACCCGGACTGTCCACGGTCCACATTTAGAAGGCGATTGGGCCAGATCCGGCTCCCAGGCCTTAGTTTGCCTACCCATGAAGAAGAGGAACCTGCCTCCAGGGTGATGGATCTGCTGCATCTACTTTTTGCCAGACATCTGCCAGCGTTACTTCAACTGTGCTTCCTGCATTGCAGGTCGGGGTGCCTCCTCCTCCTCCTTATTATTATTATTATTATTATTATTATTATTATTATTATTTGTTGTTTAGTCGTTTTGTCGTGTCCGACTCTTTGTGACCCCATGGACTAGAGCACGCCAGACACTCATATGCCTGTTGTCTTTGTCCATGGAGTTTTCTTGGCAGGGATACCGGAGTGGCTTGCCGGTTCCTGCTCCAGGTGGATCACGTTTGGTCAAAACTCTCCACGATGACCTGTCCATCTTGGGTGGCCCTGCACGGCATAGCTCATAGCTTCTCTGAGTTATTCAAGCCCCTTTGCCACGGCAAGGCAGTGATCCATGAAGGGGATTATTGTTATTATTATTATTATTAGACCCTTGAGGGGGGAGTTGAGTTGTAAAAGTCCAGCCCAATTTTTTCTTCTATCAATTGGTAACCCTCTCCCCCTTCCAGTTTTAGACAACTTCCAAGCACTTTTGAAAGACAATCTCGACTCTCCCTTTTAATGCGAACCCCTTTCTTAGGCTTCTGAAGTGGCGCCAAGGTCCAGGCAAACCCTTAGCAAACTACAGTTCCCACAAGTCTTTTTTTTGGGGGGGGGGAGAAACCGTGCTCTACAAATATACATTGTTGTTGTTTAGTCGTTTGTTGTTGTTTAGTCGGTTGTTGTTGTTTAGTCGTTTAGTCGTGTCCGACTCTTCGTGACCCCCTGGACCAGAGCATGCCAGGCACTCCTGTCTTCCACTGCCTCCCGCAGTTTGGTCAAACTCATGCTGGTAGCTTCGAGAACACTGTCCAACCATCTCGTCCTCTGTCGTCCCCTTCTCCTTGTGCCCTCCATCTTTCCCAACATCAGGGTCTTTTCCAGAGAGTCTTCTCTTCTCCTGAGGTGGCCAAAGTATTGGAGCCTCAGCTTCAGGATCTGTCCTTCCAGTGAGCACTCAGGGCTGATTTCCTTCAGAATGGATCGGTTTGATCTTCTTGCAGTCCATGGGACTCTCAAGAGTCTCCTTCAGCACCAGAATTCAAAAGCATCCATTCTTCGGCGATCAGCCTTCTTGATGGTCCAGCTCTCACTTCCATACATCACTACTGGGAAAACCATAGCTTTTACTATACGGACCTTTGTTGGCAAGGTGATGTCTCTGCTTTTTAAGACGCTGTCTAGGTTTGTCATTGCTTTTCTCCCAAGGGACCATTGGTTAAATTCAGGAAGGCAAAGCGTGCGCTCATGCACAGAATCTGCATTCCTGCTTCTGCTTCCCTGGATAAAATGCGTGGCAACTAGATTACCCAGTAATGAGCTTGGTGCTCTGCATGTGCTCAGAGGCCCTGCTGCCTATCATTGCTTCATAGCAAAATGGAGTAAGTGAATAACAACGTAGGACAGCATATGGGTTGTAATGCGTGATGTTTATATATTTTTCATGTACACAGGGCATTATTTCATATTTGAATTCTTTTGTAGTTGTGCTGAAGAAGATTCCAGCGAAACAGTCAGATTATCTGGGATCACTGTCCTATGTTGTTATTCACTTACTACTTCGGCACCATGAACGCCTAAAAAAGTTTTACCGCTTAGCCCACTGGATAGCATCTATTACTTTGTGTCAACTATAGACTTATTAGACATCTACGGACTTTCAAAGATTGACAGATGTGTGTTCATTTGATTTCAAATATATTAGAGAATTAGGGACGCAGGTGGCGCTGTGGGTTAAACCACAGAGCCTAGGACTTGTTGATCAGAAGGTCGGTGGTTCGAATCCCCGCAATGACGGGGTGAGCTCCCGTTGCTCGGTCCCTGCTCCTGCCAACCTAGCAGTTTGAAAGCACGTCAAAGTGCAAGTAGATAAATAGGTACCGCTCCAGCGGGAAGGTAAACAGCGTTTCCGTGCGCTGCTCTGGTTCGCCAGAAGCGGCTTAGTCATGCTGGCCGCATGACCCGGAAGCTGTACGCCGGCTCCCTCGGCCAGTAAAGCGAGATGAGTGCCGCAACCCCAGAGTCGGCCACGACTGGACCTAATGGTCAGGGGTCCCTTTACCTTTACTATATTAGAGAATGTACAAGTGCACATATTTTGTTTTTGTTTTTGTTGTACTAAATTATGTATATTATGCAATAAGAATTGCAGTGCTATCTAGTACAGTGGTACCTCAGGTTAAGTACTTAATTCGTTCCGGAGGTCCGTACTTAACCTGAAATTGTTCTTAACCTGAAGAACCACTTTAGCTAATGGGGCTTCCTGCTGCCGCTGCGTCGCCGGAGCCCGATTTCTGTTCTCATCCTGAAGCAAAGTTCTTAACCTGAAGCACTATTTCTGGCTTAGCGGAGTCTGTAACCTGAAGCGTATGTAACCTGAGGTACCACTGTACTAAATTATGTATATTATACAATAAGAATTGCAGTGCTATCTAGTATACTGGCCTTCGTGTTGCTTGTGTTGTTTGTTGTGTTAAGTTTGCAACACAGGGGTTGTTGTTCTATCATTGCTTCACAAGCTGCAGGGAAAAGTAGGCACCCCTTTTCAGATTAAGCTTTGTCTCCCCTTTCCTTGAGCGCTCTCTCTCTCTCTCACACACTAATCCCCCCGACACACCGCACCCTGAGAGACAAATTACTCTTTGCTTCTGATTTCTGAACGAGATTTGGGCTCCCTCAGCCTCTCTTCAATCACAAAAGTTCCCCCCCCACCTTACTGTAAAGAGATTTACCAGGGAAGCTTTAAAGAAGAGGAGGCCGGGGAAGGGGGTGGAGGATGAGTCGAGAAGAAGCAAAAATAGCCGTGTTCCCATTTTGCGACTTCTCTGCTCGTCCCCATTCCCCTGAGCGAGGCTGCGTCTTGTTACCTCCCTCTCTTCCCACCCCACTGGGTGGCCCTGTTTTCTTTTGACCCCGGGAACAAACATGAAAGGTTCGCCCCGCAGGGAGGGTTGCTGGTGTCGTTCTGCAGCCTAAATAAAAAAACCAAAGATCAGGATGTCTTCTTTTGCGGTAAAACCTCAAATCCAGCTGCTCTGCCACTGAACTATGGCCTATCCCTTAAGAAGAAAGTGAGACGCTAGTTCTCAAGATTCAGAGTGAAGGGCTGGTTTCAGTAGGAACACAGAAACATAGTGTAATGAGAATTTTAAGGTCTTAGATGTATAATAAAGGTAAAGATGTACAGTGGTACCTCAGGTTACATACGCTTCAGGTTACAGACGCTTCAGGTTACAGACTCCGCTAACCCAGAAATAGTGCTTCAGGTTAAGAACTTTGCTTCAGGATGAGAACAGAAATCGTGCTCCGGCGGCACAGCAGCAGCAGTAGGCCCCATTAGCTAAAGTGGTGCATCAGGTTAAGAACAGTTTCAGGTTAAGTACGGACCTCCGGAACGAATTAAGTACTTAACCTGAGGTACCACTGTATGAAAGGTACCACTGTATAGTAAAGCTGCTCCACTACCGGCTGGGTCAGGAGAGGCTACGGTGGCCCCTGGGTCTAGTAACCCACTGACGTCTCCCGAGCTGCAGAGACTGAGGTCTGAGAGAAGGAGAGACCTGAGTACCCGCAGGAGGAGTGGTCGCCTTCAGACGAAACAGGGAGGTGAGTCGCTGGGGGATCAGGACCAGCCGCTACCCCGACAAAGATAAAAGGCTGTCGGACCCCACCCCAGGTTGATGGAGCAACATTGCTGTATGCGAGATCCTGCCTGAGATCCTGTACCTGTCCTTGCCTGGTTTCTTGCCTCGTGTCCTGCCTTGATCCTGTTGGACTGACTCCTAGAGGAACCTTTGGATTCTGGACCGGATCTGGACAACGTTTCACGGATTACCCCCAGGCCCAGCACAGCCAGTAAGTTCCCAACATAGAAGCTGAGTGTAAAGGGGCCAAACCGCACATTATCATGGAATAGTAGACCTGGAAGAGTCTTGGAGGATCATCTAGTCCAACCTGGCAATGCAAGGATCTCAGTGAAGCATAATAATAATTTATTATTTATAACCCGCCCATCTGGCTTGGTTTCCCCAGCCACTCTGGGCAGCTTCCAACAGAACACTAAGATACAATAACCTATTAAACATTAAAAAGCTTCCCTAAACAGGGCTGCCTTCAGATGTCTTCTAAAAGTCTGGTAGTTGTTTTTCTCTTTGGCATCTGGTGGGAGGGCGTTCCACAGGGCGGGCGCCACTACCGAGAAGGCCCTCTGCCTGGTTCCCTGTAACTTGGCTTCTCGTGGCAAGGGAACCGCCAGAAGGCCCTCGGAGCTGGACCTCAGTGTCCGGGCAGAACGATGGAGGTGGAGACGCTCCTTCAGGTCTACTGGGCCGTTTAGGGCTTTAAAGGTCAGCCCTAACACTTTGAATTGTGCTCGGAAACGTACTGGGAGCCAGTGTAGGTCCATGACATATAGCCGTCCAACCTCTGCTTAAAAACCTCCAAGGAAGGAGAGTCCACAGCCTCCTGAGGGAGACCGTTCCACTGTCAAAAAGCTCTTAGCATCAGAAAGTTATTCCTGATGTTTAGTTTGAATCTCCTGTCTTGTAATTTGAAGCCACTGATTTGAGTCCTACCCTTCAGAGCAGGAGAAGAAGAAAAATATTTGAAGATGGCTCTCATATCTCCTCTTAGTCTCCTCTTTTCCAGGCTAAACATACACAGCTCCTTCAACCATTCCTCATATGGTTTGGTTTCCAGACCCTTGGTCACCTTGGTTGCCCTCCTCTGCACACGCTCCAAGAAATTTTTGCAACTGTAAGGTAAAGGTAAAGGGACCCCTGACCATTAGGTCCAGTCGTGGCCAACTCTGGGGTTGCGGCGCTCATCTCGCTTTATTGGCTGAGGGAGCTGGCGTTTGTCCGCAGACAGCTTCCGGGTCATGTGGCCAGCAAGACTAAGCCACTTCTGGCAAACCAGAGCAGCGCACGGAAACGCCGTTTACCTTCCCGCCGGAGTGTACCTATTTATCTACTTGCACTTTGATGTGCTTTCAAACTGCTAGGTTGGCAGGAGCAGGGACTGAGCAACGGGAGCTCACCCCGTTGTGGAGATTCAAACTGCCGACCTTCTGATCGGCAAGCTCTAGGCTCTGTGGTTTAACCCACAGCGCCACCCACGTCCCTTTGCAACTGTGCCCCACTCCAAAAAAAGAAGAAGAACCCTACAGAAAATGAAACCCCTCTCATTGTTCCATAAGAGGAAATATTGTGCAAGAGATTTCTTTTCCAAGGCATCACAACGCTGGGTTCAAACCCAGAACCCTGAGATTCTCACGCTCTACCTGCGGAGGTATCCCTTATGCAGCCTCCAGGACCCAGTGGCCCGTGGAGAGGACTGCGTGCGTATCCCATGTCAGCCCTACTCAGTGTAGACCCACTGGAAATAATGAACATGGCTAACTTTTGCCCGTCGATTTCGACAGGCCTACTCTAAGTAGGGCTTCGATTGGATACTACCCAGGCTCGGAGTTTTTAAATGGATCTTAGGAAGCTTCGAGAATTCTCCCTAGATTCTGGAGTCCTGAATTAGCTGGTCTTGTTCCCCATGTGTGTTGGGGGAGGCAGCCGCCTATTGTTCTGCCGTTCTATTTCTGAATTTTCAACAGAGTTCTGCAGGTGCGAATCTTGCCCAAGCTAGGGCTGGATGAAACCATCTGTTTCAGGTCCATGCCATTTTTGCACATGTTCCTTAGTCAGTGCATTCTGTTTTGTTTCCACCTTAATACACTGATTAAATCACATTTAAAGACACATTTAAATTAATAGGATAATAGAATTTCAGAGTCCGAAGGGAGTGCTGAGGGTCATCTAGTCCAACCCCCTGCAATGCAGGAATCACAGCTCAAGAATCCCTGACAGATGGCCACTCAACCTCCAAATGCTTGTGAAACATGGACCACTTATAAACACCATCTCCAGCTCCTCAGAAGATTCCATCAACAGTGTCTCTGAAAAAATTTACACATCACTTGGGAAGATAGGCAAACAGATGTCAGTGTACTTGAAGAAGCAAAGATCACCCGTGTCAAAGAAATGATTCTTCAACATCAACCTCGTTGGACTGGTCATGTTGTGCGGATGCCTGCAACTACTCTATTCCAAACTTTAAAATGGAAAGCGTAATGCTGGTGGTCAACAAAAGAGGTTTAAAGACTCTCTCAAGGCAAATCTTTAAAAATCTAGTATAAACACTGACAAGTGGGAAACACTGGCTTGCGAGCGCTCCAGTTGGAGAACAGCCTTTACCAAAGGTGTCATGGGCTTTGAAGACACGAACTCAGGACGCAAGAGAGAAACGTGCTAAGAGGAAGGCACGCTTGGCAAATTCACACCATGATCAACTCCTGCCCGGAAACCTATGTCCGCACTGTGGAACGACTTGTGGATCCAGAATTGGCCTCCACAGTCACTTACAGACTCATGGTGGAAGACATTATGGAAGACAATCTTACTCGGCTACGAGGGATCACAGAAGAAGAAGAAGAAGAAGAAGAAGAAGAAGAAGAAGAAGAAGAAGAAGAAGAAGAAACCTCCAAGGAAGGAGAGTCCACCACCTTCCAAGGGAGTCCATTTCAGCTTTTACCACCAGAAAGTTCTTCCTAAATGTTCAGTCAGAATCTCCTTTCTTTGTTATTTGAATCCACTGGTTTGGGTTCTGCCCTCTGGGGCAGCAGAAAAGAAGCTTTTTCCATCTTCCAAGTGACAGCCCTTCAGATATTTGAGGATGGCTATCACATCACCTGTCAGTCTGCTCTTCTGTAGGCTGAAGATATCCAAGTCCCTCAACTTGTTCATGTTTTTAAATCTCTGCTCTCTCAAAAGGCATGTTTCTATGGAACGACTGAATTTAGGGCTTGCATCCAATTGTAGTTATTCTTGGAGTAGACCCATTGGGCTGTGGCTCAGTGGTCCTGGGGACTGACCCCAACACTGGAAATGATATATAATGAATTCGAGAAAAGAAGTTTAAAAGTAACTTTCCAAAAAAACACCAACAGAGTCCTTTCTGTTGGGGATTATCCACAGGGTGTCAAAAAAGA